AATCATTTTTAAATTCAACTCAATCCATAGTCATTTTTGTAATAAAAACCTAAAGTTTTTCTGTCTGTGAGGACCACAAGGATCGCAAATGTAAGTGACATCAATAAGATTCGATTGGTACACAAAGCTTTAGAACGGTTGAATTCTACTACTAGCCTGAATTTATAATAAAACAGTTTGTTTCTGACAGAATCATCTCATTCAAGATTCTAGAACCCACAATAACTAGACGCCAATTCGGTTACTTAACAAACATATTTCGATGGAAGTGTATTCAAATATATTTCGATGGAAGTGTATTCGCTTAGAGTTACAAGAAAGTCACGATTGTAAAGATAACATTAATTATTCATCATTTAAAAAGCATCAATACTACGTGATTCATATGTGAATAAGATTATATAACGTTACTACATTAAAGAGTACCCAAATTGGGGTTAAATTAACCCAAATTAGTGTCCGAATACTATAACTACTATATTTACCGTGTAGTTGTGGTGTAAGTGTATCCACTACCTCATATCGTCCCGTGTGGGTCGTAAAAAACAACAAAGGGAAACATGCTAGGAGATCGGCAGCAGTATCTTTCTGATAACAGCAAAATTAATTAAAAAAAAACACGGCAATATCCGTTACTCATGCCCCACCCACCAACAAGTCTATTTACCACCAAAACTCGTAAAACCTCTGTCAAAAGAAAAAAATACACGCGCGGACACCCCCCAAACCCCTCAATGAGGGGAGGCCTGAGCCCAGCAGTGGGACGTATATAGGCTGTAACTTTACTTTACTTTACTTTTACGGCAATGATCTCATGATGAAAGGTACAAAGAAACGGCCCCGAGTACGGTCAAATTAAAAATTTGAAAATACAGCCGAAATGGCTACACTGGAGGCAACCTGACACTGCTGCAGGTATAAGATGTGTCACACCATTAGCTAATCAACATTAGCCTAATTGTAGGGTGAGGACTGCAAACTTAAAATGTTTTGTGTTCCTAATATAAGTTAAAAGTATTAATGAAAAACTTAAACCTTTGACGCTACTACCTGTCACTGATCTGTAGGTACATTTTACGTAAGGCGTAAACAAGATAGTTATGCTGTCATCAATCGGAAGCCATTAGACCATTCTGGCATTTTATGTAGTTGCCTCTTTCAAATCCTATGGGTAAAAATAAGGCAAGCTATACTCTTAAACACGAAAATAATTTAAATCCAGAAAAATAAATAAAATATAGCAAAAGAATAAAAATATAAAAAGTGGAAATACAATAAAAGGTACGCAAAGAAATTTTTGTTAGTATTCAGTGTGTGTCACGAAACAACGCCGTGTTTACGAAAAACAGCGCTGCGAGACGAATAATGTACGAAATTGTTTTAAGACGCATTTGGTATTAATATAAAGAAGAATTTTATGCTCCGATTGTTTAGTTTTATACATTTCTTTTACACCAGCATGGTTATTTCCTTTTTATTTCAAATATTCAATAGAGTTTGTAAACACTTCTAATACTCCCGTTAACCACACCAACGGAGCTTAAATTGTTGAGCTTGCACTTGGAGTGGCTTTTCCTCTTCTTGTCGTATAGTAGTCGAACGGCGGATTCGAGTCTAAGACGTTTGAGTTTCACAGTCCGTGCCTTACCTTCAACCATTATTATACAGTCGTTTTAAGGTATTTAAGCGACTGCGCTTTGTTATATTTTTTAAGGGCCTATATTTATTTAGACGAATTTGGAAAGCAAGAAAGGATCTAAAAATATATAACTTCATCTACATGGTTACAGTCGTTTTAGAAATACTGATTACACATGGATAAATATACTCGTACAGATAATATTAAACAAGAATTACTTGTTTAAAGTTAGGATAAATTTAAAATTTTATCCCAACTCATACAATCCTGCATCTAAAAAAGCTTCAACTAATCTAGTATGCATTGATAACCGTCTTTTCGATTGATCTAATATATAAAATAAAATTTATATTTGTTTTTCGTATTTTATTTACCACGAGCCGTGGTCAGCGCTCGCTGTAAATTTCACAGTACGCGAGCAAACCGGGTTCGATGCAATGAAATTGTTAATTGCAATTTTAAGTGCTGATTTACCACGTGCTCGGAGATGAAGGAAAACATCGCGAGGAAACCTGCATGTCAGAGAAATAATAAAAAAATATTTCGAAGACATGTGAAGTTCGCCAACACGCATTGGGGCAGCGCGGCGGACAATTCCTTGCCCTAACCCTCTCTTAAATGAGCGAAGGCCTGTGCCCAGCTGTGGGACGTATATAGGCTGCAACTTTACTTTTACTTTTGTTCGTATTTTATGCGCTGCTATACCGTTCATCAGATTGCGGTAAAACTTTGTCAACATATTGCTTGCACTTCCGTAAAGATTGTAGGTATAGTTGGAGCCGGTAGGTGGCGCTGTTGTAGAATCCAGATATCACCCGGGTAAAGCCGAGGCAGATCGCTAGTGTTTAATAATATTTCTTCTTTCTTTTACTTTAATAATATTCAGTAATTAATAAAATGTGTTGTAGTTCCTAGTACAAGAGCCGTGGTAGCTCAGATGGTTAGCGCTCGTTATAAATTTCACAATACGCGAGCAAACCGGGTTCGATCCCCGCCGGCACCAATGAAATTGTTAATTGCAATTTTAAGTGCTGATTTACCACGTGCTCGGCGGTGAAGGAAAATATCGTGAGGAAACCTGCATGTCTGAGAAATAAGAAAAAAATATTTCGAAGACGTGTGAAGTTCGCCAACACGCATTGGGGCAGCGCGGCGGACTATTCCTTGCCCTAAAACCCTCTCAGAAATGAGAGGAGGCCTGTGCCCAGCAGTGGGACATATATAGGCTGTAACTTTTACTTTTTTTAGTACAAGAGTTAGGTGAACTATAATATACATAATCGCCTCACGACAACCCCTTACATATCTCGACCGAGAGATTTAATAATCTTTTGAAATACATAAAAACTATGAATTTTGTGAATTTTATTCTATCTATTGTTATTTATTTCATTTATATTTTACTTTTAACATAAAACTTTTCTTAGATACTTTGAACATACTATTATGGTTATAAGACACATATAACCTGGTACAGAGGCCCTTGCCAATAGCATTATTGTAAATCAATATACTATTTTTCTTTTTCTTTTTTTTAAATCAGTCAATCTAAAGCCGTCCATGACAATCATAACAAGATTAAAATTAACCACTAACCGACTTATTACAATAAGTAATTCAAAATTAATCTTGGTCTCAAGCTAGAGTCTGTTTTATAGAAGAAGTCTCGTGGAAAATGTAGTATGGAATTTGACAGCAAATCTCAAATTAAGCGAAGACTACGGCTTGACAACTAAGGGTCTTCGTGATTGAAAAAAATTATTCTTTAAATTCGACATAATCCATAAATCATGTTTTGTAATAAGAACCTAAAGTTTTCCCGTCTCCGAAGGCCACAAAGATCGAAAATGTAAGTGACATCAATAAGATTTGATTCGTACACAAAGCTTGAGTACGGTTGAATTCTACCAATAGCCTATATTTCTAATAAGATGTAAAATAGTTTGTTTACGACAGAATCATCTCATTCAAGACTACACGGATCTGACGATAACTAGACGCCAATTTGGTAAATTAACAAACGTCGAACATATTTTGATATAAGTGTATTCGCTTCGAATTAAAAGACAGCCACGATTTTAAAGATAACTTTAAATATTCCTCACTTAAAGTAGAATCAATACTACGTACCTAATATGTAAATAGGATTATATAACGTTGCTAACCCTACAAAATTAAATAGTACCCTAATGTATTAGTGTCCGAATACTATATTTACGGTGTCCTAATGTATTAGTGTCCGAATACTATATTTACGGTGTCCTAATGTATTAGTGTCCGAATACTATATTTACGGTGTAGTGGTGGTGTAAGAATTTCCACTACCTCATAATATCGTCCCGTCGGTGTCGTAAGAGACAACAAAGGGAAACAAGCTAGGAAATGGGCAACAGTATCTTTTTGATAACTGCAAAATTATATTTTAAAAAACTTGCAAGTTGCAAACCCGTTTTCCAAGGGTGTTAACTATAGCAATGAACTCATGATGAAAGGTACACAGAAATGACTCATAGTTTGGCCAAATTGAAAATTTCGTCATCTTTCTATATAAAATTGAGCAAAACTTATATATACCGCAATTCAGTTTAAATAAATACTCAAAGAAAAATTCAACATAATAAAATTGAACATAAATTAATAATAAAAATAAGTTGTGATTTCAGAGACAGGGGCGGTGAAATCCACAGACCAGAGCCACACAGATACTCTCGTGATGTGACCTTAATCCTAATGCATAACTTGTCTTATTATTTTGTTTGAGTAACAATAGCAGTTTTCACATTGACTTCTCTTGCAAAACGTATATAGAAGCCACGATATCACGCGGAATGCAGTTTTTTTAGAATTATTAGCCAATGCTCAACTACTATATATATCTACTATCTATACTACCTGTTGGTAAGTGTTGATGAAGCCGAAGATGGTAAAGCGCACTGACTTAGTTTGACAAAAGCCTATTCACTATTACCTTAAATACACCCACATTATTATCAGATGGAAATACGTGCTAGCAGATTATTCAAACCTTTTGCTGTACGCCTTTTTCGTTACGAAGCAAATTATTTGATCCGAAAGCGTTGTATATAAACAGCAAAGGGATGGAAATCAGCTGAGTGTCTGGTGGTCCGATGATGGAAAGGAGAGGGAGGGATTAATTCATGCAATTCCTGTGAACACTCGCTTTTTAGTCCATTTTCGTATACATTGTGAGTTGTGAATTTGTCTGAAAGTTACAACTGATGTAAACCGAATACACGCAGTTTGAGGTGGACAACATATTAGACTGCATTGACGTTTCGTTGCAAGAAAGATTTAAAAAAATGAGTCATATAATTTATAATGCTGTTGAATTAAATAAAATTTAATTATCAAACAGCGACAGTAAATCTGATACATCTGTATCCTCTAACTCAGCATGTGATAAAGAAAACTGAAACTGAAAATATCGTTATTAAGCTTTACATTTTTAGTCTCAATTTTAGAAAAGAAACATTTTAAGTTCATGGCATCACTAAAATAAGGAAAACACTATTCATTCTTATAATAGCATACGCACGGGCCACCAAAATCTGTCGACAAGTGCAAACCTGTCGTGGGCGAACCGATTTAGATTCGCTTTCGCCTTTCGGTCCTATTGCGGTTTGAGACACAAAAATTAAATTTTATCTAGATAGCGTTTCGCCCGTTCGTTTGAGTTCCCCTTCATTTGCGATTCACAGCAATTTGCTAAAGGCATTAAAGAGGAGATTTGGGTTGGAAAACATTTGAAAAATAGATTTTTTACAGATCTGTCTTAAGGTCCCGTGAACCTTCTCACATAGTAAAGTAGCGCGAAAGAAACAACTGTAGCTTAGAATAATTATACTATGAAAAGTTTACTATATTATCATCTTGTTTAATGATAATTTCGTATACTTTGATAATCATCTCTCCTTCCCTTTTCTCCTTTTCTTCTGGGAAATAGGGTTAATTTTAACTTTTTCAAGAATATTTACGAAGGAAAGTAGCGTTGTATGTGTGTTGTTTGTTAATATGTTTATGTTTTTAAATTTTTTGCTAGACGTCTACGGCAGTTTGGCAACGGCGGTATTACTAGAAAATATTGATAAACAGGGAACATAAATTTCATATAAATAACTTTTAGAAAAAAAATGGTCATGGCGGGGATTATTTTGATCTTATGTAACCAAAAAGGATACAGACGAATATGGTTGTACGGAATAAGTGTGGCCCAGATGTCTTCTTATATCAATTAAACTTATCTGACGAATTGTGTCTTTTTGAAGTATGTAGGCAGTCAAATCGGCGTAAATCTTTATTGTTGTCATGAATATTTTATCGTGGAAATAAAAAAGAAACGGCAATGGCACTGTACTGAAAATATATTCGGATTTATTACTAGCCTGAATCCATTAGTTGAAGGCTAGAGATCCATCGGAGTCGTCTGATCGGATAAGATCGGAACAATAATTTATATTTTAAACTGAAGGTAGCCGAGATTGTGGCGTCGAACACATTACCCACCCCCTACCCATGGCTATGAGTGCTGTAAAGTATTTATCAGCTTTTAACTAACAAACAAAACGATGATGATTTTGCCACATTTGCCACACTTAATAGACAAATAGATTATTTTGAGTTATTTATGTAACAAAATTCAAAACAACGTACATTCCGCTACCGATATAGATAAATCAAAATATTTTATTATTGTACGAAATATTTTATATCAGCAATTAAAGAGAGAAATTGAGCATAATTAGCAAATATTATAGGTGGCAGCAGAAACACTATATAATAGGAAATTTCCGGTTAGACTCGCCTTACATCAATGTACTGATATATTCATTGCCTTTACGTGGTAGAGCCATGATTCATGATTCAGCTCTAAGTATTATAGTTGTAGCAAGAATCGGTCGGATCGACCGGGGAAGGACTACACTCTTACAGAATACAAGCGTAAAATAACAGCTTAACGCTGCTGTGTTTCGTATGGTGATTGTAGAGAACTGGAGCTTAGTCCTCACGTGTGACAACGCATCTGCATTTTGATTCGTAATCAAGAATAGATGTAGATATCTATGGGTCACAGCAACCACTTACCATCAAGTGGACATCCCACCAGTGCTCGTCTTATTCTATTAAAATACCCTAGTCACGCACCATACCACCTTATCATCTCCTGAGTGTCATAAGAGACGACAGACAGAAATGACACTGGAGATGGGCAGCAGCACGTTTTTAATATGTAATCAAAATATTAAAAAATCTGCAGCAGTTGCTGCAAAGAACGGCATCTATGAGAAATATAGCTAATATGAGGCAATTTATAGATGTTTACCTTGTAGTGGCGGTGTAAGAATATCCCTCCATATCATCATCCCTCTTCATAGCTCGCTGAGCGACCTTTAGCGTCCTCATACGGCCAGCAGTGTAGGACCACGTCTCAGATCCGTAAGTCATCACTGGCAACACGCACTGGTTGTACAATCTAGGTTTTAGAGATTGAGGTATACCTGACGAGAAGACATGTCGTAACTTCCCGAACGCTGCCCAGCCGAGTTGAATCCGTCGATTGACCTCTCGGTCGAAGTTGAACTTGCCTAGTCGGACTATTTGTCCCAGGTAAACGTACTCGTCAACAACTTCGAGCTTAGTGCTCCCAACAACTACCGGCATAGGTGTGACATGGATATGAAACAAAATCTTTGTTTTGTCCATGTTCATCTTAAGACCTATCCGTTGGGAGGCACTATTGAGGTCATTGAGCATATTGCTAAGGTCCTCCAGCGATTCTGCCATAAGGACTATATCGTTGGCAAATCGAAGGTGAGTGATGTACTCGCCATACAGGTTTACGCACCAACCTCGGCACATCCCGATGAGGAGGTGGAGGAAATGTATGAGGATATTTCCAAAGCCATGCATTTCTCCAAAATCCACTAAAGGGTGTTGATGGGAGACTTCAACGCAAAACTAGGCACAAGAAAAAACAGTGAGCTGAAGTTAGGGAAATTTGGAGTAGGGTAACAGAATCGAAGGGGCCAGCAGCTGACCGACTTTATGGAGAAAGAGGGACTCTTTATGATGAACTCTTTCTTCCAGAAGCGGCCCCACAGGAAGTGGACCTGGTCGAGCCCCGACGGTTCGACAAAAAATGAGATTGACTTCATTATAACGACCAGACGCCAACTGTTCAGTGATGTCTCAGTGATCGCAAGGGTGAAAACTGGCAGCTATCACCGAATGGCTAGTGGCACACTGAACCTAAACGTTAAGTTGGAGAGGTCTCGTCTAAAGAAGTCAACGCTCCGTCCCCCTCGTGCTCTAATCCAGAATCCCGAAAACTTTCAGCTCGAGTTACGTAACCGCTTTCAGTGCCTACAAGATTGCAATGCAGTGGACGATATGAATGACAAGCTCGTGGAAACTTTCCGAGCGGTCGGAGTTAAGTTCTGCAAGACCCGCCACAGAAGAACACAAAAACTCTCCGATCACACTCTTAATCTCAAGGCTGTTAGACGGCAGATGAGGCTACAATCGTCAAAAGATTTGACAGCACACAGGCAACTGAACAGACAGATCTCCAAATGCATGCGGCGAGACTTACACAACTTTAATACTGCTCGTATTAAGAAGATGAGTGAACCAGGGCTCCAAAGTCTTTGTGCAATGAGTGTGAGTGTGAGTAACGATCCAAGAGCAAGTATTTTTTTTATATAGAAGAGGGGGCAAACGAGCATGCGGCTCACCTGATGTTAAGTGACTACCGCCGCCCATGATCATCCGCAACACCAGGGGAATTGCAGGTGCGTTGCCGGCCCTTTAGAAAGGAGTAAACTCTTTTCTTAAAAGTCCCCAGGTCGTATCGGTCCGGAAAAATCGCCGGTGATAAACTATTCCACAGAGAGTTTGTACGCGGAAGAAAACTCCTTTTGAAACGTACTGTGGTGGACCGCCAAGCATCCAGATGGTGTGGATGGTATCGGGACGTTTGTCGCGTAGTGCGTTCACGAAATTTGGCGGCTGGGATTAATCCGAACAATTCCTCAGAGCACGTGGCGGTGGTGGCTCCATGGTATATGCGAAATAAAATGCAAAGAGATGCAACATCTTTTCGCACTTCCAGTGAATCGAGCCGATCGGAAAGTACTCGGTCGTGGACGATTCGAGCCGCTCTGCGCTGGATGCGGTCAAGTGGAAGGAGCTGGTACTGGGGAACCCCAGCCCAGAGATGGGAACGGTATTCCATGTGCGGCCGAACCTGCGCCTTGTAGAGTTGCAGGCGGTGTGCCGGCATGAAATACTGTCCCGCTCTGCTGAGCACGCCAAGCTTTTTAGAGGCAAATTTGGCCTTCTCTTCCAAGTGATCACGAAACTGCACGTTACTCGATATGTCGACGCCGAGGATTCCGATACTGGCTGAGGCAACAAGGGGAGTGCCTTGAAACTGAGGAGATACGACAAAGGGGTTCTTTTTAGCGGTTAACGCGCAAACTTGTGTTCTGGGGGTTAAACTGGACTAGATTCAGTTCAGCAAAGACTCGACTTCAGACACAAGTTTGTCCCGGCACTCGGAGACGTTTTCCAGAGAAATATTGGCTCGGCCGGTGTAAAGAGCATCACCAGTGCTGTCATCTGCATAGCAATGAATGTTACGGGTTTGCAAAATATCATTGATATGCAGAAGAAACAGCGTTTTTTTTTTTTTTTTTTTTTAAATAATAATATTTACTCACACTCACTCACACTCCACAAATTTTACATCGTGACTTACACTATTTAAGTAAAAGTAGCATCAATTACATTGAGAGGTTAACGTCGGCAGCCGTACTAGTATAAACTGTGCCACGGCTGCCTGCGCCTTCCACTCTGGGAATCAAATAATAACCTAATAGGTAAGATCTTTTACAACATTTCTCAACAAATAATATTTACAATCTTTTCAAGCTAAAATAAAAATTAAATATTATAACATGTAGGTAGATACAAAACAAAATAGAATTTAAGCAAGATTACCACTTGGTGTGTTTGATGTATAGTATAATTATAAACGCGGAGCGTGAATGCATGGGGGAGTATTATGTTTGTACGAATTTGTAGTGTGGGTTTTGAGTAATTGGATGTGTGGGATATGTAAGTGTGTGTGTGTGTGTGTGCGTGTGTGCGTGTGTGTGTGTGTGTGTGTGTGTGTGTGTGTGAGAGAGAGAGAGAGAGAGAGAGAGAGTCTATTAAGGTGTTTTATTGAAGGGTTTTAATCCGAATAATATCTATTCTATCTCGTCAAAATCTAAATTCAGTAACCAATCCCGTGTAGCAAATTTGCATTGATGAAGGGTTAAAGGGTAAATATTTAAAGCTTTATTTGCGATGTTATAGAGATGGGAACTTATAACAAAATAATGCCGTTTTGCAATAGTGCTTCTGTGTGGAGGTGTTGTGCAAACCTTGCTCTTATTACGTTTTTGAGTTGGAACGTATGGCAGTCCTAGATGCTTACGAAGTATAGTGTGGAAGATAAAGAGTTTTCTTACCGTAAGAACTGAGCATTCACGGTAGAGTAGTGACGTGCTATACCTACGCGGTCTTTTATAAATTACTTTTAAGATTGCACGCTGAGCACGCTCCAGGGGAAGCAGTGTACTAATGCTAGTTCCACCCCATGAGACAATGCAGTATTTGAGCAAAGATTGGACAAGCGCATAGTAAACACACATTAGCGTGTCACGATCAGCAGATTTTCTAAGTAGGTAAAAAGATAGGAATTAATTTTCTAATTCGGGCTGTTAATGATTTAACGTGTAATGACCAACTAAGATGATTATCTAGAATCAGACCGAGATATTTTAAGCTATGTGTTGGTGATAACTGAGGACAGTCGCAGCAACTATTTATTCTATCACAAGTGTGTGCCCTTATACAAAAGTCAATGGATGGTTGAGTATTGGCCCGTGGGGTGAAAGTTATGTATTTGGTCTTTTTTAAGTTTAACGTAAGCAAATTTTCGTCCAAACATCTCATTACCTCAGTGAGGGCTTTTTCAGTGTATTGTTGAGCCCGAGCCCAATCCTCACCATGCACAATCAACGCTGTATCATCTGCATAAGTGATAATTTTGCAGTTCGGTAACGAAAGTTTACACAAGTTGTTGATGTACACTAGGAAGAGGGTTGGACCCAGTACACTGCCCTGTGGTACTCCGTAAGAGAGACTGACATCCAGACTTTGGTAGTTACCTAATTTGACACACTGTGAGCGATTTGACAGATAGTCACAAAATATATCCAAGACGACTCCGCGTACACCTATTAATTCCAGCTTTTTCAATAGTAATGGTATTGATACAGTGTCGAATGCCTTCGACAAATCGAGGAAAACTCCAACAACTTTGTGACCCATATCAAGGTACGTGACAATAGTCTCAGTAAGATACAAAGTCGCATCATCAGTAGATTTGCCTTTTAAAAATCCATACTGATTTCGTGCAATTGCATTTGTCTTTTATAAAAATTTAATAAGTCTAGAATTTAAAAGCTTTTCCAAAATTTTAGATACTATTGTCAGCACCGAGATAGGTCTGTAGTTCCCTATCATATCTCTATTGCCGTTTTTATAAATAGGATGTACAAGAGCTCTCTTGAGGATGTTAGGAAAAACTCCTGAAGCGAAACATTGATTGACCACGTGGGTCAAAGGTGGAATAAGGCTAGTCCTTGCGTTCTTAAAAACTTGAGTAGGAATGCTGTCAACACCTGTAGCGCAATTATCTTTGAGGTTCATAATAGTGTTCTCGACTTCATTATAATCCACATCAAGTAAAGCCATCGAATCTCTTTGTGACTCAATATGAGTGATGTTTACGGAACCAGTCAAACAAGTACTTCTTCTAATTTGTATATCATTAGCAAGGGACTTACCTATACTTGCAAAGAATTCATTTATTAGGTTTACTGATTCATGGGGGTCTTTGGCGAGGTTTAACAATTCAGTGGGGGACGGAGATGCTTTTTTTAGACTAGCGACTTTATTAATAGTATTCCACATTTCTTTGGGATTTTCTTTATTCCTTTTGAACTCGGTTTGTTCAAATTCGGTTTTAAGTTTTTTTAGAAGATTATTGCAAAAATTACGGTACCTAGAGTAGGTAAGCTGCAATAAGGCATTGTTAGGATCCAGTTTAGCCTTTTTGTGTAACTTGTCACGATTCCTAATGCATCGTACAAGACCAGGTGTTATCCAGGGCTTAATAGCTCGTTTACGATGCGGGACGTAGATTAATGTGGAGTGGCAAGAAATTGCTTTATATATTATATCAACCAAAGAGTTTGCTGCTAAATTTGCATTTGCAGCGTTATATACAGGGTTAAAGTCTATTACAGATAATTCTTGGACTAAACTTGGATAATCAATTTTCCTTATGACAGCTTTAGCTAGGTTTCTTTTGATTTTTGCCTCTAACACAAACATAATTGGCGCATGATCAGTTATGAGCGAATCGAGAATAAACGTTTTAGAGCATCGATTTGATCTTAGCATAACGTGATCAAGACAGCTGCTTATACGCGTTGGAGTAACATGTGTTGGAAGCAGACCATGAGATGCCATTAGGTCAATGTAGTTATTACAATTTGAATCAGAGCTATCGGAAGCTATATTTATATTAATATCTCCAATTAAGATAACTGATTTAACAGACGCCAATGAAGTCAAACAATTTTCAAGACTATTGCAAAAGTTATCAATATTGTTATATGATGGTGATCTGTACACAGCTATAATCGCAATTTCATTCCCAAATCTTAAAATAAGACTATTACAGTCCTTTAATTCAGTCTCTAATGAAGTACTATGCTTAATTTCGGACTTGACATAAATTACAACTCCATCATTCTGATTGCGGTAGCCTGAAGCATATGATATATATCCAGGTATTTCTGGAACGTTTAACAATTTACTCAACCAGCATTCAGTTAAAACGAGGACATCGCATTGGAAAGAGATTCTCTGAAATAAAACATTAAATGCGTCAAAGTTACATGATAGACTCCGTATATTCATGTGCATAACTGAAATAGATCCTTGCAATAAATCTATGTAATTAATAAGAGATTCGGGACTACACACCATAAATTGAGATATTTCAAGAAAATCAATGTCATCAGAGATATCCGTTATTGGATCACCTTTTAAAAATACTAGCAATCACTTGTGTAGAACCGGGTGCGTAATAGTTCCCCCATTTAAGAATGAATGTTTCTGCGACAACTAAAGCTTGTAAGAATATCGTATCTAATTTGTATAAGGTGTATGTGGTAACCTTGTTCACAAAGAACGTTACAAATTGTGGTAACGAATAATAATTGTACATACCATAAAAAAATAAAATTGTGTAAAAAACTAAGTAAATATACAAAAAATTTAAAATAAGGTATAAAAGTATTTTCAAATATGATAAAGAATTACCAAAGAAAAACTGGAGCAATAAATTTCGGTAGGCAGGTAGTCATTTGTCATGAGTTTGGAGCAGTTTCTGTAAATCAGTCTCCGTGTCAATGCGACGGCATGGAGCACCCTCCTTCTTACGTAGGAACACCTTCCCATGTGCAGTCCAGCAGTAAGCATAGTTGTGGTTTTTACTAAATTCTCGTGCCATGAAGTAAAGTTTCCTAGCCGACTGGGTGAGACTCTCTGATATAAAAACTGGTTTGGGTTCGCCATCTATGTTAAGGTCGCCAGTATTTAGTTTATTGTCCTTCTTTGACTTGTTGTAGGCCTTAACTGAAGTTAATATATTTTCTTTTAGCGTAACTGTTGTGAGGTCCACAATAATTGGCTGATTATTTTCTTTTTTGGTTTTAAGGCGAAAGACGTCGCGGATCTGTAATTCTTCCACACAGACATTGACAGATTGTCCAACTTTTTTAACTAGTTGCACCAGATCTTGCTTTGATTCCTTTTTATTTATAGGAATGTTTCTTATTTCAATACTGGATTGCTTTTGCGACCTTTCCAAATTTTCTACCTTTTGTTCTAGACTCTGAATATGAGCTAAATGGGATTTCCTATCTAATTCCATTTTGGCCAATTTGTTTTTCATATCTTCATATTGCTTTGATATGAAGTCCATGGATTCTTTGATGTCAGTGTTTTGCTTCTTAATGTCTTTAATGCTTTCCTGTATTGTATCTTGCTGCTTAGTTAAAATTCCAATGGATTTCCTCATTTCCACCATGAAAGAAGCTAGTTCGTCATCATACTGACGTTTACGGGGTCGATTTCTATTCCGATTGTTCACATTGGAGCTTTCATTATCTGTATCAGTAGGTGGAGCAGAGCTTTGATTTGCATCAGATTCAAGGACCTGCAGCAGGGATGCTACCTGTTTCGAAGTAGACGGTGGTGTTCTCCTTAGCGGCATTTTTCTTTTCTTTAAAAACGCTTCCGCCTATGAATCAAGGCAAGCGTCTCTTGTGACGTATACGTACGTAGTTGGAGTGACGTCGGTGAAGCGAATTTGGATCGATCTGCTTGTCTCCACTGTTGGTGTCTCTTTTATACCCGTTACCGTACTACTGCGTATCACCCTAAAGTTATGCAGTCCTAGTACTTGCCAAAAACTGACTATTTGGTCAGAATTTAATTTATCAAAAATATTTATAAAAGATTACGGGGAGCACGTCTAATCGCTTTCGCTGTCCAGATGGAAGGGGAGTTGGCGATAGTATGCAGCCTTGTGGAACACCAGCATTAATAGGCTTGCAATCGGAGCTTGCACCGTCTACAACGACCTTGATACCTCGATCTGCAAGAAAGCTGGTGATCCAATCGCACAATTTCTCGGGAAGCCCATAGGATGGTAGCTTTGAAAGAAGCACTTTGTGCCAAACCCGATCGAAGGCCTTCGCAATGTCCAAACTAACGGCCAATGCCTCCCCCTTGGACTCTACTGCCTCCGCCCATCTGTGAGTTAGGTAGACCAGAAGATCACCAGCTGACCGAATACGGCGAAAACCGTATTGGCGGTCACTAATCAGCTGGTGATCCTCCAGTTACCTCATGAGCTGGCAGTTTACAATAGACTCCATTGTTTTGGAGAACAAGGAGGTGATGGCGATAGGCCGGTAGTTGGACGGGTCTGAGCGGTCGCCTTTTTTAGGAATCGGGTGGACGAAAGCCGTCTTCCATGATTTTGGGACTACGCCTAGGGAGTAGGAGTACCGGAAAAGACGCGTTAAAACGGGTGCCAACTCTGGAGTACACGTCCTCTGCACAATTAGGGGGATTTCGTCAGGCCCACTCGACTTGTGGATGTCCAGGGAGAGGAGTGCTTTGCGAACCGAGCGCTGTGTGAACTGCACTTCCGGCATGGAGCACTCACACCGCGGGATGGTCGGCGGCGTACTCCCCCGTCATCGAGAGTCGAGTTGGACGCAAAGAAAGAGCCTAGAAGATCGGCTTTCTCCTTTGCAGTATGGGCCAGTGAGTCGTCTTCCCTGTGCAGAGATGGAAGAGATGGCTGACAGAAATTCCCCTGGACAGCCTTGTCGAGAGACCAGAATGCACGGGTTCCAGAAGGAAGGCGAACTAGATTCTTGACAATTCTGCCTATATGCTCTGACTTTGCCTTGGCAATGACTCTTTTAAAGGACCTAGAGGCGGAATTATACTTCTTTTTTAGAGCGCTGGTGTAAATGCTTCTATAATAAAAACTTAATTCATTTTATAGTATGTTTTTTTGGGTCGCATTTGATATGTAAGACGATATCAAATGCAATATAAAAAATTAAAGAGGAAATTAAATAACGAATAGAAAAAAGTGGTGATAAACTGAAAATTTAATAAAAATATGATACATCATAAGTTCTTCCTAATGGGACGTACTTACGTAATGAGCCAAAACTTTCTACGTAAACATGTTTAATTTAAATTAAAATACCTACTTAAGAATCGATTTAGCTGTAATGTATCCGAAATTTGTATCACTAAATACCGCACAATGAAAACACACATTTACAGTTACTGTCGTTTGATACCAGCAATTTCGTCGCCCATATTTTGCCGCTTTAATTAGCAAGCTTTCTAGTTAAAGTGCTATCTAAAGCCAACGGAAATGCCTCTTCTAACTTTAACACCACAATTATATCTTTTATGTAAATTCATTATTGTTAATTTTCTATAGAAAATAGTAAGTAAATTAGACGTTACTTTTAGTTTATAACGTAAAAATTTACACTGTATTTAATCATGCTAGTTCATTGATTCATTACAGCCTATCAAAAATCCAATGCTGAACTTGTGTTACCTCCATAACCGTAACAGCCTGCTAAGGTCCACTCTAATGTTATACCAGAATTCGACCCCATGAGCAAGGAGCAAACAGTGCTAGTATGGATCAATAAAGTAGAAGAGTGCGCGGAGATTTAGCGGTGGGAAGAGAGCAAAATAACACATTATGCTTTACCGAAACTTATAGCGGTCGCTAAGAACTGGTACCAAGTCCTACCATCGGTGATGCTCACATAAGATGAATGAAAAAAAAAGGTTACTCGAATTATTTCCTTATCGTGAAGACTATTCTGAACTTTTGACGGAAATGCTAAGCAAACGTGTCCAATATGGTAAGTCGTTGGAGCACTATTATTATGCGAAAATAAATTTATAAAAAAAGATGTAGTACAGGGTAGGCAAGCAGTAGATTGTATTTTCTATGGGGAGATGACCGGGCCATAAAAGTAGGGGCACAAGCAGCTCAATTCACGGAACCTGAGCAGGTTTTAAAAATATTTTCGTACCGTAAAAGTAGCTCAAACTAGGGAAGGACAAGACACGGGTAGTAGAAACCGATATGAACGCAAAGCTCAGTTTAATACAAATCAATGGTTTATAAATACTAAAAAACTGCATCGTCTAATTCGAATATAAATAAATAAATAAAATAAAAAAGCCTTTTTATTTTTTACAAACAAATGAAAGAGTAACAGTGTTATCTTATTACTAAACCTAATTATTTTTTATATAACCTATGATTATATCTATTTTTGTGTATTTATTTATCTATGATTGTAGTAATTATTTTTTCAAGCTAATTTGCAAGAACCCCTTCTCGGGTGAAGGCCTCCTCCAAAGAATCCCTATGGTCTCTGTTTTTGGCTATTTGTAACCCATTTGGGCCCGCTATCTTTGTGATGTCGTCTTGCCATCTCGCATGGGGTCTTCCTCTGTAGCGTTTCCCTGTTAGGCCGTTCCATGAAGTAATGTTAATACTTCAATGTTTTGAAACAGTTTTGGTTGATTTGACATAATGAAATTGATTTAATTTTTGTTTGTTCCATATGGTGAGCGCCATGTTCATCGTTGATTCGGCTTTTTTTTGAAAAAGGTGTTTAGGATTGCTATTTTATTTTCAAGCGCGAAGTTTATCAATCTCTTACCTCTCTGGTTTCTTTCTCCGTATCCGTTTGATTTCGTAACTAAGTATTCATCTTGTCTGGGTTGTCCTAATTTCGCATTTAAGTCGCCCATTATTATAAAAGTTCTATGTGCTTGGTGAACAGCTTTATTTACACTTGAATAAAAAATATCAATTTCTTCTTCTTTCGCTAATTCCGTGGGTGCATATACTTGTATAAGAGATAATTCGTTTCCTAGTATTTTTAAATTCAATATTGCTACTCTATCTGTTATACCTATGAAGTTTTCTGTGTTATTTTTATGTTTTTATGTAGTAAAAATCCGACGCCATACTTTCCAGGTGTAAGTTCTATGTGGCATAAAATAAAATTGTCATATTCCTCTATTTTTGTTCCTTGACATCTCACTTCCGAATATGTTTTAATTGTATTGAGATCGGACACCCTAGGTTCAAATGCGATAAACCTTTAATTAAATGTAATTTATACGTTAGGGTAGGACATAATTCCTCTAGTTACTTCCAAAATAAGAACGGCATTGATCTTAATACGATTGAATTAATGAACAAAGCCAAAACAAAAGAAAAACGGGTATCCAAGCTCTGTTTCCGATAATGCTAATGATAAATACGTTTTGAATGTTAAAATTAACGGTACGAAATGAACGTGTCACGTTGATTTGGGAAGCCAATGCTCGCTCATTCGAATTAGCAAGGCAAAAGAATTAAATCTTACTACAAAGTTTTCAAATTACCTCCCAGTGCTTAGAGGGATTAGGGCCAATCTTGTTTATCCTTTGGGCGTAGTGGCTGCTGAAGTGGAAGTTCAGGGCATCCGAAAAACTATTGACATAATATATGCAGTAGATGATTACATTTTAAGTTACGAGTACCCTCTTCTTCTAGGGCGCACGTTTAGAGATTTACCGGATATTATAATAACCAAAATTCCTTCCAAATTAATTTTTGAGAAGATGAATAGTCATAAAATTAATTTACTTTCCAGTAGTGACGTTACTATTTATAGTAACTTGTTCAGTTTAATATCCGTTAAATCATAAGGGTAACTTAAAGGAAAGGATGGTAAAGAATATAACCTTCTTGTAGGCGAATACACTATCGTATCAAAAATGGAGTTGAATTACTGAGTATATAACATGGCTGAAGGTGATATAACCATTTCCAAAGATAATCTACTCTCTCGAGCAATTATTTTTTTTATAGAAGAGGGGGCAAACGAGCATGCGGCTCATCTGAAGTAAAGTGACTACCGCCGCCCATGATCAACCACAACACCAGGGGGATTGCAGATGCGTTGCCGGCCCTTTAGAAAGGAGTAAGCTCTTTTCTTGAAGGTCCCCATGTCGTATCGGTCCGGAAAAATCACCAGTGTTAAACTATTCCACAGAGAGGTTGTACGCGGAAGAAAACTCCTCTTGAAACGTACAGTGGTGGACCGCCAAGCATCCAGATGGTGTGGATGGTATCGGGACGTTTGCCGCGTAGTGCGTTCACGAAATTTGGCGGCTGGGATTAATCCGAACAATTCCTCAGAGCACTCTCCATAGTATATGCGAAAGAAAATGCAAAGAGATGCAACATCTCTTCGCAGTGCCAGTGAATCGAGCCGATCGGAAAGCACTCGGTCGTCGACGATTCGAGCCGCTCTGCGCTGGATGCGGTCAAGTGGAAGGAGCTGGTACTGGGGAGCCCCAGCCCAGAGATGGGAACAGTATTCCATGTGCGGCCGAACCTGTGCCTTGTAAAGTTGTAGGCGGTGTACCGGCATGAAATACTGTCCCGCTCTGCCGAGGACTCCAAGCTTTTTAGAGGCCAATTTGGCCTTCTCTTCCAAGTGACTACGAAACTGCACGTCACTCGATATGTCGACGCCGAGGATTCCGATACTGGCTGAGGCAACAAGGGGAGTTCCTTGAAACTGAGGAGATACGACAAAGGGGTTCTTTTTAGCAGTTAACGCGCAAACTTGTGTCTTCTGTGGGTTAAAC